GTATCTATCGGCGTGTGTTGCAGGTTGTTTGTTATATAACGCATGTAGAAAGATATTACGGATAGTGTCTCGATATACAGGTAAGTGGTGTGACTTTATGTAGTTTTGGCACAAGTTATTGTATACTTTATCCTAACTTCATTTACCGGTCGGCCTAAGTTTTGGGCCGCTGGTAGCCTATCGTATATTTGGGGATCAGTCTATACGGTAGGGATAAGCTTAAATCAGAATGTTCAGCTAAAAATCTTCGCCAGATCGACATGTAGGCTACTATTTACGGTATATAACATCTAGATCTATTGTTGCAAGCAAAAAAAACTCCTGTATTTTCATAGGATTGTGTAAAAGGCCCTGATAAAATAATTGGCTTTATTGCTTCACTTTCCTCATAGAGGAACCATTAGCATCAGCCATTTTTGTTGTTGTTGACACTTTCTGTTGTATGGACTAATTTAGAATAGGATAAAGTCCTTTCTAAATACGCAGCAAATTTTCTTATGGTTTCTTTGGGCATATTTTTAAAATTGCACAAGAATAAATTTTAAAAAAATCTCACCGTGTTTTATCAGCTGTTCAAATCGAGGCTTTGCAAGGCTTTATCCACCACCCGATTAGAGTATTGCATTTTAAATCTTTCTTTTTGGTTTGACATCAGCCATTTTTGTTGTTGTTGACATTTACTGCTACATGGACTAATTTGGAATAGGATAAAGTCCTTTCTAAATATGCAGCAAATTTTCTTATGGTTTCTTTGGGTATATCGTTAAAATTGCACAAGAATAAAAAAAAAAACTCATCGTGTTTTGTCAGCTGTTCAAATCGAGGTTTTGCAAGACTTTATCCGCCACCTGATTAAAGTATTGCACTTTAAATGTTTCTTTTGAGTTTGACAAAGGTTTGTAGGGGACCGTGGCAGTGATGTGTATATATTGTAGAACACACGTGGGTTAAAATTTTTCTGCTAGCCGGTCCAACTACATGAGAAAGTTGGACTTTAATTAAGTCCAAAGAAGACAAGGAAAAACAAACACAAGACCGATAAATATGTGTAAACAAATATATGTATTAATAATAAGAAAGGTTACAAGTTACATGGACAGAGTGCGTGTGGTGAATATTATATGTGTGTGTTGTGTTGTGGTGAGTGTTTGTACGTACGTGTATTATTCTTAACGTGTTCCCAGCATTTGGGAAACGCTGTATCTGTGAGCGTTCACATCTGCGAGGTGGTATAAGGCTGAACGCCTGAGTAAAAAGAGAGATTTACCTCAATGTGGCGGCCCAGGAAAAAGAGGACGAGGCGAAGGGTCAACTAGTATTTATAGCCAGGGGAGAGAGACCCCTGTTTAAGGGTTAAAAAAAACAAAAAAAAAACAGCATCTTCTTCCGAACTTGATGCAAGACCGTGATGGTTGGCGTGACAGAGTCATAAATGTCGGAGCTAGCCCGACCGAATAATAATATAAAGACAAACTGGGCTAAAACCGAATCTGCCTACACGTCCTCATAATATGCACTCGTTAATTCCTCCTTCCCCTTACTTAATGCAAACACACTCAGTAGCCCTCTATCTTGGGCATGTATTGGGTCAACTTTAAAAAAAAAAAAATTTAGTAGGTTATTCACTTTTTTCTCACCTTCTCATTTATTTTTTGCACAGAATTATTTCCCTTGAAATAAAATATAACAAAATTAATTTTAAAGGGAAATAACTCTTACAAGAGTTGACTCCCTTGGTAGTATCTTCACGTTGTGATTAAAATTTAAAACAAAAATGTAGTCCATGAAAAGATTACCTGACATAGAAGTATCAGTTACGCTCACCTTTCTCCTTTATACGTTTTTATACCATTGTGGTCTGCTTAACATTGTGCGCTCGTTTTAAAATGGGTGATTTGTGACTGCACGTTTAATCTCTTTTTAGTTTTGAAGACTGCTTTAACATCCAGGTCTTCAGCAAGTTCCTGGCATCAACCAATGCTTCCTCAAAACTCATTTCTCTTTGTTTGTTTTTTTTTTAACCTGTTTCAGAATTTTTAAAATGCTTTCAGAACCGTTGTTGCATCCATTATTTCACTTTGAAGCTCACTGAGATAGAAATGAGTGCCAGAATACTAGAGTTATGAGGTACTTGTAATTTCTAATTTCATTCACCAAGGACTGAGCATTACTTTTGGCAAGTAGTAGTGGCAACCAGCTCTTCAAGAGCGACACAAACATCAGTGGCTTGGGGCCTGATAGCCCTTACACTATCTACTCGACATTCCCACCTTGTTTCTGACAACAGTATACCAATAACCTGACTTCTGAAAATTCTTCACTATTTAGGGATGAAGAAAGAATGGTGCATATTCGTTGTAATGTGCCAATGAAAGTCATAGAACCTGGACAAATTTTGGCCATGTCACCTAACAGAAGGTTATAGTTATGACATGCGCAAGGTGTGAAAAATGCTCGAGAATTTCTTTGCAGGGCTCGTGCCTGTACATCTGATGTGTGTGCCTTCATGTTGACCCTATTATCTCAAACCTTACTGTCTAAACTTGATGGAACCTACACTCGTATGCTGAGAGCTATACTTAACATCTCTTGGAAACAACATCTAACTCAATCACAGCTCAATGAACCCATCCATGATATTTCTACAGTTTTGCGTTAACGCAGTATGCATTTTGCAGGACATTGTTGGCGAGTAAACCTGCGAGTCATCTACTGCTCTGGACACCTAGCCATGGAGCAAGACGGATTGGTCGCCCAGCAGCCACCTACAGTGACCGGCTATATCATAACACAAAATTCCATCCAAATGAGATTCCGAATTTGGTGCAAGACCGTGATGGTTGGCGTGATAGAGTCATGAATGTCGGAGCTAGCTCGACCAAATAATGATATAAAGTTAAACTGGCATAAAGCCGGCTCTGCGTACACGTCCTCATAATATGTATTCCTTACTTCCTCCTTTCTCCTCGTTGCTGCAAACACACAGTAGCCCCCTACCTTGACTGGCCCTTGGGGTATGTATTGGGTCAATTTTAATTTAAAAAAACCCTAAGTAGGTTATTCACCTTTTTCCATAGTCTCATTTATTTTGCACAGTATTATTTCCCTTGAAATGAAATATTTCAAAATAAATTTTAAAGGGGAATAACTCTTACGAGAGTTGACTCCCTTGGCAGTATCTTCAAGCTGTGATTAAAGTTTAAAACAAAAATGTAGTCAATGAAACGATCGCCTGAAATAGAAGTATCAATTACGCTTTCTCCTTTATGCGTTTTTATGCCATTGTAGTCTGCTTGACATTGTGCGCTCGTTTTAAACGGGTGATTTTTGATAGCATGTTTATTCTTATCATTAATACAAGTTTTTTGTTTGCATGCAGATGAGGCTGTAGTGGTCTAGTTGTTTCAAAAGTCGAAGTTACCATTATTGTAGTGGCTTGGTAATAAGAATGGACAATAGTAGATGTTTGTTTACGGCTGCGTGAATAACATGACCACACAATTTATATTAAACGTAAAATACCACAAAGAATGAAATACAAGAAGAAACAAAATGATTTTAAAACATAACATTGTATTTATTTGTGAATTGATGTACATGCGTCGGAATTAAAGATCTGATGGAGTTATGTCTCCTAGACTGGGAATATTTTAAAGAGAAAAGTTCTTGTTGTATGTTTGGAAATGTTCTGTATGTTTGTAATGTAGGTTGGAAAATTTCGTACGTACGTGCATGCGTGAATGTGAATGAAACGTTTGACCGGTCATGGTCGAGTCGAGAATTCTGAAGATCTCATTTTCGCAGGAATTTGGAAGAGTAAAAGAGAATAAGCGAACTCGTGTCTGCTATTTATAGATAATGTAATCACGTGACAGGATCACAGCACCTTGGCGGGAAAACTGGAATTGGTCACGCGCTGGGAAAATATTTATACGTGCAACACCCACTTGAGTGTTTATTGACCAATTAGAAGCTGATATACCTTGAAAATATTTACTAAACCGAGCAGGCTCTTGGGATATGTTTCTCCCAGAAGTGCACAAAATTGACTATATGAAAATAGAGCGATTACAAAATTGTCGCATTGCTGCGATTTGTAAATTGTCTGTAATAACGTAGTAGTGATTTATTAACCAATGAATGCTTGGCGTTGTATGTGATTTGTATTTGTGCATGTACGTATGTGTGTGCGATACAGATCAGCACAAGGCTATACGTGCATTTTTTTCATACAAGTATGTTGCGGATGACGTTTGGTATGTTTACGTATATGTTTAAATGAATCCTAATTGAGTTGAAATATTGGAAGCATTAATAATAAAAAAGAAAAGGCCACCATTCAATAGCATCGACTATGAACATGGCTACAATGTGCTGACCGTATTTGAAAAATACAAAAAAAAAAAACCAAAAAAAAAACATTCCTCTAAGTCGAGATACATACATAAAAAAAATCGATACATTTAGTTAAAAATAAAAATCATCATTGATAATGGGTAAAAGAATAACTAAAAGCGCTCGGACATGCAGAATATTTGGGCAATTTTTACACACTTTAAATCCAGAAAAGAAAACAATTATAAGAACCCCCCCCCCCACCAAAAAAAAAAAAAAAGTTTAATAAAAGCTTAATCAAAGAACCTTGTCAGTCTTCTTTAATAAAACTTGGGATTGCTGCCTAAATACACAATATATATATATATATATATATATATATATATATATATATATATATATATATATATATATATATATATAGAGAGAGAGAGAGATAGATAGATAGATAGATAGATAGATAGATAGATAATATTAGTGGTAAATATACATACATATGCAAAATATATAAATACCCATACATGTATATTTTTTGAATAAAATAATATTTTTTGAATTTGTAGGTCTGATGAATTGATCGTATTTACGATTCCAATGGAATAAATTATGACCATAGAATATTAGTGTTTAAGCCTTTTTTTATTATATATATATATATATATATATATATATATATATATATATATGCTTACAAATATATGTATCAAACAACAAATTTACAAGGGACAGAGACATCAACATTTGTGTTTGTGTGTGGACGTAAAGAGTTTGTATTTTGGTGAATGTTCGTACGTACATGTATGTGTGTTTCACGGCGTTTTCCCACAAATGGGCCAAAACGCGGATCTCTGCGAGAGATTACATTTTTAAATGTGTCCGCTGAAATGCAACGTCAAAAGAGAACGAGGCAAAAAGTCGTCCAGTATTTATAGTGTAGGGAGAGCGACCCCTAGTGAACAATTAGAGAATTAAGGAGTTAACTCCGACAATGTGTCTTGCGGCATGTGAAGATCCTGCTACAATACTCAGCAACTTATCCTTGTGCTATTTTAACACCACTCAGTAGTAGTAGCAACGGCATGGAAAGATTCTGCTTACCTGCGATTGATACGTATACCTAGTTTCTTTAAGTAGAGGTTAACGGCTTCTGCCTGTTCCTGAAGAAAATGGTTGGCAATAACGAACAGAAGCATGCAAAGTAGCATGAAGATAGTTTTTTACTAAGCGCGGCTTAGATGCGGCACAAGGCCAGAATTATGGAGCACCCAGTGAGGATCTAACTCACTACTCAGTCGTAATTGTTCTAGCGAGGCAAGCTTGCTAACCATTACACCACGCCGAAGTGCCCAACTGGCATGAAGATATATTTCAGGCTTCTGTACATGAAGTAAAAATGTTATTAATTTTATTCGCCTCCCACAAAATGGATACGAATCATTAATCCATTTCTCCGGGAACAAATAAAAAGAAAATTATCTTTTTTATTGTAAAACTTGGATCTGTGGAGAGTAATCTATTTTCATTCTCCCACAAATCTACGCTCTGGGAGAATTGGTGACTAAACAGCCAGCTAACCTTTTAGATGTGGGCACAAATAGTTAGTCATTCTTACTGTTATCTCTTGGTTGTATAAATGGAGCGCTTTATACTTCCATTTGTATTTCCCCTCAGTATCTGTCTATATTTCTGAGATGAGGTATTATGTACACTATTTAGATTATTCGGACTATTGAACCCCATGTTTGTCGCCATATTTATTACAACGTTTCGGCCGTTGTACGCTCTGGCCTTCTTCGGGTGGTTGGAATGTCGAACTGACCCTTTTATTTCACTCACTGGCGTAGACTGTTCTAGTTCCACGTGCCATGTTTTAATGGATGAGTGATAGGACTCAAAGAGTGTGAGTTCAATACCCGGTTAAGGCAGTGGAGAACTTGGAGAGGAGAATTAACAGGAGATAACTGACAACTGTGATCCATTAAAACATGGCACGTAGAACTAGAACAGTCTACCCCAGTGAGCGAAATAAAGGGTTACGTTCGACATTCCAACCACCTGAAGAAGGCCGGAGCATACAGCGGCTGAAACGTTGTAATAAATATGGCGACAAAGATGAGAACAATAGTCCGAATAATATAAATAGTGTATTTCCCCTATTATGGTCATTATTATATCAATTATATAATAACACCGTATTTCCCGGACGGAATGGAATAGCTGAAAGGAAAAGTAATGACAAACATACTTTGTTCTCGGAAAGAGTTTTATGCTGCTAAGTCATACGCACAATTATGTCAATATGTCTATGCATTGAATAATATAACAAGCAGGGTGAAAGGAAAACGAAAAGATAGGACCTTACATATAATATGGAGATTCTTATGTGTTTATGGAGAAGCTATGTTTAACTCTCCAGATTCGAACGGGGCGGATTCATCTTCTATGTCCCAAAGGAGGATATATACCGCGTAGAAGAACCGGCGATTCTTGTGTTTTCCAAAATTGGAAACTGCTAATCGAAGATTGTTTCTTTCTATATCTAGAGAAGATATATTTCCAAAGGGAAACGACGCCACGTGCTTGTAAGGAGGCAGGTTTGTCATGTGCTGGACAAAGCAGAATTAGCCTCAGCCCGGTCCAAACAAACGACTGCTTCGTTTTGCTCCCAGAAACCGACTGAATCATTGACCCCTTTCGTCACTGTATGGAGTGACGTCACTAAGTGACCGTCATGTAACCCACGTGACTATTTTGACCAAAGGGAGATAATCGCCTTTTGTATCCCTAGAGTTGGTTGATTTTTGTCATTATTCCCTTTTCGGTTTCCTTTCTTTTTCGAGAAGCTTCAAGTTCGTGGAGTGTCTTATGACAGGTTGTTCTTGATTACTTTTTTTTTGCTTTGTCGCGATAAAATTATTTACAAATTGTGAGTTGGCGGAAGGAAATAAAAAAGGGAAAATGTATTTTTGCGTAGTCGTCTATGAATATATAAGTTACTATTCTAAGGATGCAGAAGGTGCTTATCTCCCTTTAGTGGAGATAAC